GGGTCCACCACAAGAACCTCACCAACGACTCAGAATCCAACCGGGAGGACGTGCACCGAGTGCAGCAATGCACACAAGTTGCACGCCCATCACAACAGCCTTGTCCGGAAGAGGGGAACTGCACAAGCTGTGAGGAGAGCCAAGAGCGGAGGACTTGCCATTTCCACAACGCAGAATGCCGACAATGCAGAAAAGTGGGACACATTGCCTGGGTGTGCTGTGCCCGCCCTGCCCGATGCCTTGCATCAGATGGCTGACCCAAGAGTCCCAGGCCCTGTAGTCCAACACACCAAGGCAACTCAACGGAGATCACAGACTGTCAGGTATACCAGTTGCCTCATTCTAATGCAGAAAAAAATTACATCGAGGTACAGATAGAGGGAGTCCCATGCCTCATGGAGCTTGATACAGGCTTAACCCTGTCCATAATCTTGGCACGGACATTAAGGAAATTGTCTCCCAGCAGCGGCCCCAACCTTAGGCAAGCCCCATTCACCATCCGAGACTTCCAAAAACACAAGGTCCCCTCCCCGCGATGGCGGTGGGAACCTTCAATGTACAATATCAAGGGTGGAAGCGGCAATTAGACTTGATTGTGGTCAAGGGGCCCTACGTTAGCTTACTGGGGTTGGCATGGTTTGGGCCACTGGGGCTAGCCATCACTGGGGTGAACCACACCAGCTCCCACGTGGACGCCATCTGCAAAGATTTTCCGGAGGTTTTCGACGGAGCATTGGGATGATATACTGCCCCCCATTGGCCTACAACTAGACCCCACCGTACGACCCATCAGGTTCAAGGCCCGCCAGGTCCCGTTCGCCATTAAACCCCGCATTGGCGAGGAATTAGACTGGCTCATGGAGCAAGGAGTGCTCGAGCCAGTGCCTAACACCCCCCGTGAAACTCCAATCGCCACACCCATCAAGCCCAACGGCTCAGTCTGCATCTGTGCAGACTACAAATGTACCATAAACAAGGCCTTTACGGTTCATGCGTACCCGGTGCCAGTCACAGACACAGAAAGTTATGGGGTCATTCACCATGAGGAGCAGATCAGGTAAGAGTAGCAGAGGTGCATGCTGAAGGGGTTCTGCCCTGTCAAAAGAAGAATCAGTAATGATGTGATGTAATGCACAAACGTGAAATAATTAGAATGGGCAGGTTTTATGGGAAAAGCTTGGTAAGCCCAAGAATTCTTCCCAAGAAAAAAAAGGATGCTGAGGGATACCCCAAAAGCTTTGCCAAACACTCCCTCACTCCTTCCCTCAAAAAGAAATATGAGGTATCCTGAAGTGTGTGATCAGAAGCACAATTATGAATAACTACGATTATTTCACATCACTGTTGCCTGGGAAGGATATGGGTTAAGAGGCTTTGCCAAAGATACAGCAGTGTACAATAACATATCACCTTTTACATTCAGAAGATCCCAAACAACAGAAACAAAAGAAGCTCTGTCTCCTTCATCCAGGCAGATAGAGCAATGTATATCTACAAGTAACATATGCCAATATGAAAGAAGAGCCTTTTAAATTTGAATCTGAGTGAACCCCTTGGAAGCTTTCTATATTTGCAGGAAAACACTGCCAAAATTTTATTTTTTGCTCAGTCAAGAGATTCCTGTTTTTAGAATAAAAAGTGGACTTGAACATATGGGTAATGTATGCAATATATATTTATATGCATATACATATGCTTTCTAAAAGTTAAAAAAGCCGGTTTTTAAATTTGAGTTTAATATGGCTTACAATGAAATCAATTACAAAAGCCCACTACCTTCCTTAGTAACAACAGAAGGAAAATATGCAAAACTCTTGCATGTGAGGGGGCAGCAACAAAATATTAACCAAACAGGAATTTTAACTGGCAGAATTACCTTTTGCCACATTTTATAATCCCAATATCTAAAATTCATATGCTGTACATATGTATGAAGTCAAAGTTATCCATGTATTCTGATGGTAAGTATGAGCCAACTCTTACATTCATCTCTCATCTATCTTAACTGTATACAGTATAATAACCTAGAAATGACCTATGATAAGGGCAAGCAAGATAGTATCCACTGGCAATATATAATTGAGGTGGCTGGCCAAAAGAATGAAAACTTATGGGTCTTGGAAAAGGTTCTGGAATCTTTATAAGAAAGTTCTCAAAAGCTGCTGTTTCCTCAAACCACAAAATTGTGCTGCGTTCAACTAAAAATGAACCTCATAACCCTGAATATGAATCTAGTGTTTCCCCTCCCTTCCTTTCTCCTTCCAGCTATAAAAATTACAGGCAGAGAATACCCTAGAAATATGCACAGTTCCTTTGATGTTAATACTACTTCATTAATTCCAGCCCTGTTATTTTTCCATTGCATGCCACCCCAGCTGCAGCAACTACCCAGTTGCACTTCACTCTCTTGGCAGGCCTTTATAAGATGTGTGTTTTCAAATGTTGAATGAGACGATGCAAAAAGCAAGGTTGTTACACAGCATTAAAAACCACATTTTAAGGGTTGTGAAATATGCTTAGTTTTCTGCATACCACACACATCCTTGTTTCTTGAGGTTATGACAGTTAATTGAGTTCAATGAAGCAGAGAAACAAAACAAAATGCACTATTTGCTTTATTGGTACAATGGCAAATACCCATAAGGATAAGAATGAGATCACTAGATCCTGGATATTATTATTTTTTTAATCAGAAACTAGCATGTAATACTAACAAAGCAAAAAAGGAAAAACCACAGCAGGAAAAACCATGGAGACTAGGAATTATAAGCAAAAGGGTAACTGGGTACTTAAGCAAGAATGCAAACGTAAACTGGAAATATGATATGTAGCATTACATATAGCCAAGATATAGGGGTAGGAAAAGCACAGCAGAATATGGTTAAAGGAACAGGGCATTGGCAGGTCTTCTGAACCAAGTAACAGTGGAAAGAGAAATGCTTCTTGTCAAGGAGCACAGCTCTCTTTCCCACTATCCTTCCAATGTCCTTATAAAGGAGTGGGTAGTATAGGATAACCGCCATTCTTTATAGACTTTGCTCATAATTCCTTTTGACGCTTAACATATCCCTTTACCATGAAGACTCACTCATATGAAATTTAAAAACTTTGAGGTTACAAATTAAGCATAATAGTCCCTTGGTATCATCAGTGGAGAAGGAGACTCTGAAAAGAAATATGCAAAACTGACTAAAAAGCAGTATGGGCACATGCTTCCTAGCAATCTCCTGCCCATGTACAGTCAACTATTTTCTGAGATAAAAGGAAGGGGGGAAAGGGGGGGAGCATCTTCCCTCTCACATATTTGATCCACACTTGTCACTGCACTCCAATAATCCCTTGCAACATGACAAATTGCACAGAACACTTGCAACTGATGAAAGCAATGCCCTCCTAACAAAAAATCACCCTTAACTCACCATTACAAAAGTGAGGATTATCAAAGTATTTGGGGGTTTTAAAAATGAAGAGAGAGAAGTCATAAAGTAAACACAGAAACATATCTATATATGTATATAATATATATAATGGGGTTGAAGCCAAAGCATGCACAGAACAGCAAAAGCAAAGGATCTTTCCCCTACATTCAAATAGTAGTATTTTATGAGGTCTATGCAAACATGGGAGTCTATGTTGTTTTTACACTGAGTTTCTTTAAACACTTAAGTGAGTTAGAGCTTTGCAAGGAAATATCTGCAACAACCGTTACTACTTTTAATCCAATACACCAGTATCTGCCTCCCACCCTGCCAGTATTTTTCTTTTTTATTGTGGCACTCATTGGTAATCCTATGCAGGATGCAAGTGACATCCTATGCAAGCGGCATCCTATGCAGGAGTCTAACACTCCTGAATAAATATATTCTTCCGCAACATTAAGACATTCAGAAGGTTTGTTTCCAGGTAATTCTATAATTTGGATGCTGTATTAGTATGCATGTATTTTTTTTCCTGCTTTTGTCTGAAGAGCTCTCAAAGTAGCTTCCAAACAATTTAAAACAAAAGAAAATGATAAATCAGTAGAAAAACATAGTAAGAACCGCAAAGCAGCAGTAATTAAAACAGAAAATTTAAAAAGCAGAAGGCTTAAATAAAATACCTGGTTAGTTACAAAACAACTAAAAGCATATGAAGCTTGGCACCAAACAAGCCTCCCCGAGGAAGGTATTTCAGGGTCAATATATCACAACTGAAAGGAGCCCAGCCCAATTTGACAATGCCAGCATCTCTTCTATTCTGGTGCCAATGAGAATAGAAGGGCCCAAGAAGAAGGAAGGAGAACTCTGATGTGCTGTTTCCAGAGACTGGTGATGGAAATATTGGAGCAGTTCCGAATGCGCTTCCTGTTTATAGAGCACTCTGACAGGCTTTGGTGGGCAGGGTTAGGCCCACAGATAGCCAACCCTTGCTGTAGAACTACCTTAATCTGAGGGTACTATTAAAAGATAGTAACTCTGAGAAGTGCATTAAGATATAAATTTCTAAGAAACTGATCACAAAGGAAGAATATATTTTGTCTAATTCCAGTCCCTTTACATAAGAATATGTTTACCATTTAAGTCCCCTCCCCTCTATTCTTCTGTGGAATCAAGAACAATCAGAGACAGTTGCACCCCAAACATTTTTATTCTGAAGAAAACTTGACAGATGAGCATAAAACTCACCATATTTAGGCCAAGCAGGAATTTTCCATCAGCTTGGATAAGTTTTCAAGGCACCAATGTAGCAACATCATGAGAGAACCTCTGTGCTAGGATAATGGGCCCATTCTGTAGTGCCTCTTTCACATTCCCTACAGCTCAGACCACAGTGACTTTTTCCTCATCGCATAGCAGAAGTAATGGCCACATTACCACTTGTAAAACTTCTTCACAACACTGGTTAACTGAACCACACTGGTTTAACCTGTGGTTTGGATCTGACATGCCTGGGCTTACTTGTTAGAAACAGAAAAGACATCTAATTGAAGACTATATTTGATAGATAACAACTAGACTTACCTAGATAAGGAATACAGGGGACCATCTTTAAACATCTGATATATTCCCGCATCCTCTTATAATTATCTTCCTTAGACGTTAAGTAGTCTAGCTTCTCAAAGGTGGCCTTGTCTTTGCGATTCAAAAGCTAAAAAAAGAAAGGTCAAGTAAAACTATTAACATTCTGCAAAATGAAATTTTAATTACTTAGAACACAGGAAAGCAGTAAGTTTCTTTAGGCTGAATACTGTTTTGCTAAGGAGGTTAAGGGGTTGCAACAAATTTTAAACGGTCCACAGTATCAGCCATAACCCTATACCTGAATGTGGATATAGCAAACACTGTGAAGTATCTTCTCTTTTCACAATACTTTAAAAGGAAAAGGCAGTGTTTCATTCAATCTTGTGTGCTTCATACTACATATATCCTACAAGTACTCCCTGTCACAGTTTTTGGAACAAGACAGCAAAGCAACTTGTTTCTGCTTACACCATTGCATCTGCTCTGCTCTATTCCAATTCACCTTCCCTTCATCTATTTCAGTCATACTCTGGGCTCATCCACACTTCTGCTTGCCCAGTGCCTAGGAAGCATGGGCCCAAGCAGCCACATGGTGCGGGTTCTCAGTGCCTGGGGCGCAGTGCTAAGGGGGTGGGCATGGAGGGTGGCTGCACTCGTCCAAGCTCTCACCGTTGACCGAGCTGCGGTTGTTTGAGTCGGCGATGAGTGAGGCGAGTGGAGGGAGAAAGGCTCAAAGCTAGAGAAGGAGGCTGCCAGAGCCTCTCACCTCTCCTCAATGGGGGTCACCACCTCTCAGTCAGCCCAGGATGGGGGAAAGGGGCGTCAGGGCACGCAGGGGCGTCCCTTTGACGGCCACAAAGTGAAGGAGGCACTGCCATTGCCCCAACCCTGAAGGCTCGGCCCAGGAGGAGCTTGGAAAGTGAGGGAGCTTGCCATGGAAGCGCCTTGATGTGCTCCTTCACACCCTTTCAAAAACCTGCTCCTGGGGCCAGGCCCCCCCTGGCATTCCCCACACTATGCTCCTGGGTCTAAGCAGTTTTCCACTTGTCCCGTGCTTTCTAGGCATGGGTCCAAGTGGTTCTCTGTTTGCCCCTCCCCCCACTTTCCCCAGGAAAACCCACTCTTTAGCACTGAATTGGTGCAAGCATCAACCCACTGAAAACCCAACTGACATTTGTTCCAATTCAGTGGTAAAGATAGAGTTTTCCTGGGGGAAAATGGGGGCCAAGAGGAAGTCTGGATGAACTCTAAGTCCTACTTTGCCTTGCTCTCTGCTGCTACTTCTGTTCTGCCTGGATCAGCAACTCAATGCTGTCTAATCTCAGATACATCCTGATTTCACAACTGCAATTTATCTCGGTATCTGATACATTCACGCACTTCCCACCCAGATTAGGAAGCTGCCCTATACCAAGACAGACTGTTTGTTCATCTAACCTTTTAGTTCTCTCCTTTCACTGACAGTGGTGTTTCTCATCACTTGTTATCTGTTTAAAAATAAAGAAACCCTGAAGAAACCAGGATTTGAATCCAATACCACGGTACCACTTCTCACACCAGACCTAGCTACTCTGCTTTCCTGAGACAGACCCCCAGACCCAAGCATCAGTGGGCTACAAAAAGCCTTTTAGCTCAATATATCTTCTGGGCAGTCCACCCAATTCTACACCCACACTCTAAATGACATCTTTCTAATGCAATACAGCAAGCATATTCCACTGCAACAAAACAGGCAATTTCTGTAATGCATACAACAACACAGCATTAACATAGTAAGACATCAGTGCACAAAAGGTTGAAAGACTCAACTTGCTCCATAAATGCAGTATGTTGGGGGTGTGAAGTTAGAAATGGCAGGTGTGCCCCTGGGGTTCAAATTAAGCACCCATGTTTTAGTTAGAACACTAGATTGGAAACAGGCAGAGGGAGCTGGGACTGGTGTAGCACTTTATGCAGCCTGCAGTGACAAATTTAACTGGGTGTATTTCATGCATTACTTTGACATACAGACATATATATTTCAGAAATTAAGAAATGTACACGCCTTGAAAACAGCTGCTAGTGACCTAGTGCATTACAAACCTGGCTAATCTAAGCTTTTCATTATGTGTGAAGCATCCCAAACTATTTAAACTATTTTGTTTTCAGTTCTGAAGTTGGCTACACATGTACTAAAAGCATGTGAAATATTCCATGTGCTCCCAGTTAAGCATGCACATAAATGGACAGTAGAATAACAAGCTTAGATATAACAAAGTTGGGAATAAATCAATGCCTGCTTGTGTTTAAATATTTCTGCCAAACTTCCATTAGCAACATGCTGAAGTTGCTGGAATTAAGCTGCCAGTTGAACAAGAACTTACTTGATATTTTAAAAATTGTTAGAATCTAATCAAGAGAATAATAGTGCTTTAGAAATAAACTGAATAATGGTATTCTCAAAGCAAGCAAGGTTCTGTCATTTCATAGCACACAGACACTTGGGATACTGCAAGTCATTTCCCTAGCGTTTTTTACATTGAACACAAATGGGTGTATCCAATGTCCTACTCAGAGCAGACCCATTAAAATTAATGTGCCTAAGTTAGTCATAGCCATCAATTTTCACGGGTCTACTCTGAGTAGGACTAACATCGGATACAGCCCAAAGATTTGCCACAAAAATGCAAAATACTCTTCTTCACCTTATACGTATACTTAATAAGACAAAATACAGAATATTTGATCTTACAGCAATAAGACAGTATGTGTTTCTTCCCTATAAAACCTGCATCCCAAGAGAACTTGAATGAATGCTATAGATGTGGTTAGCAACCACATACATATGAAGGGCACTTGACATAAATCACAGAAGAAATGTCACAGCTTTCTCATTTTCCAGCCAGTTGCACTGATGGCAAATCTACACTACTAAATTAAAGCAGTTATCACCTCTTTACAGAGAATTCTGGAAACTGTGGTACTGCAAGAGGGGGATAGGAAAGGCAGTTGGTATTTCATAACAAATAATTATCAATACTTCACTAAAATTCCCAGGTTCTTTTGAGTGAAGCCATAAAAGTTAAAACCAATGCATGTTGTAACATACACATCCTGTGAGCATATGCATGAGCATTTTGCCACAGAATTCCTTTGGCACCTACTTTGTAGAACTGCCAAGACATGCAGGCTGGTAAAACTATATTACTGTGTCACTCCCCACCCCCCCTCACCCCCCAAAATATGTATGGCTTTACCAGCAGTGAAGTTCTTATGTGATGTGACGGGGAAATACATATCTAGAGCCAAAATGTCTTAGAAGGAGGAAGGTAGCCTTGCTAAGTCGGTGAAGGAAATAAGCCAAACAAAAGGTGCCTAGTTAAACATAAATGGATGTGTACTTCCCTTACGTCTGAAGATTCCTAATGCGGAAAAGCAGCTCTCCTAGAGTAATCTATTCTTACTAATTGGCTAGCTGTAGCAGTTGAAACTCATTAAATCTTTTTGCCACTATTTAAGGTTTATGTTAGGAGATAGTGTCTAAGGAGGACACAAGAGAACGTATTTTCTCTTCTGGCCACACTGAAGTTTTCTGTTCTGTAGAATCAAATAATTATCAGTGGCAAATATTTTCAGCTGATAATTTATGTGTACTGCGATGGGGATAATAGTGGTACACTGGAAAGTCCTCCTAAAAACCACAGGTTGACATGTTTTTGGACTATTTTGTACATCTTCAAATACACGATGTGAGAAAAGGAGGGAAGCCTGTGGTTTTGGCAGACTTGCTTACAAGTGGTAGTAATCAGCATATGTGTATGTATGTCTTACCACAGGTTGCTATAAACTAGAAGACACAGGAAATTATGGAAGGATAAAGACAAAGCTTAACACGTGATAAAACGTTACAATTTGTGCCAAAATGCAAGAGGGAATCAGCTTATGGCAAAGAAATCCCCCAGGGAGGTCCCTCTAAAATTTAGCTGCTGTGCTGTTTTTTGCTTCTTCTCTCTTTTATCATGTAGATTGACTCCTGGTGCATATTTCTTACTTTACCCTGGATCTTTAAGGATTATGTCCTCCTTCAGACAATAAACCACTATCACCCTTGCATACTTTACCAGGGGTGCCCAAACTTTTTTCAAAGAGGGCCAGATTTGAAGTGAACAGGGCTGACCAAAGTGGTTGACCTTTTTTACGATTTTACCCCAAAGTTGTTGAGCTTTTTTAAAGAATTTTTTATTTTTAGGGGATTTTACTGCCACAGGGGCTGGATTAAACCGACCAGCAGACCGGATTAGGCCCCTAAAACAGACTTTGGACATGCCTGCTTTACACAAATCAACTTTGTGTAGGGGAAACAGAAATGTACGGATGTGGTCTTAATCTGGTAACTGAATCAGGGACATGACAACTCTTCTGTCTCAAGTCACTGTCCATTATTAAACCAGGTTGTCATGTGAACTATGTGGATAGAGAGTTTTTCTTCTTTCACAACCAGAGAGATTTGGGACAGACAAAACAGTATAAGAGCACCCCTGCTGGACCAGACCAAACCCAGCTGGACCAGACCAAGCAGGACCACAAGGATAATAGTTATTTCCTGCTGTTCTCCAGCAACTGCCATGCAGAGTCATTGCATTCATTACTGTGAAATTACTACATACAGTGGTACCTCAGGTTACATACGCTTCAGGTTATAGACTCCGCTAACCCAGAAATAGTGCTTCAGGTTAAGAACTTTGCTTCAGGATGAGAACAGAAATTGTGCTCTGGGGGCGCGGCGGCAGCAGGAGGCCCCATTAGCTAAAGTGGTGCTTCAGGTTAAAAACAGTTTCAGGTTAAGGACAGACCTCCGGAACGAATTACGGTAAGTACTTAACCCGTGGTACCACTGTATGTTAGTCTTGACTAGTATATGTATGCAGCTAAACACTGGACACAATGTAAGAAGAGCTCTGCTTTTAGAAGACATCTTTAAGGCAGCCCTGTTTAGGGAAGCTTTTAATGTTTACAAGACTATTGTATTTTAATACTTTGTTGGAAGCAACCCAGAGTAGCTGGGGAAACCCAGCCAGATGGGCATGGTATAAATAATAAACTATTATTATCAAACCAAGAAGCCTCTCCAGTCCAGCATTCTGTTCT